GGGGGGGGGGGGGCTGCAGCCGCGTGGTGGTATATGCAACGCTATTGATTTCGTGCAGGATGCCAGCAACGCCATCAGGAGCAACCCCTGCAGCCACGAGGGACAAACGCTCTTTTGCTTCGTGTATATATATATATTATACGGGTGCTCGTGCCTATGTTCTCTTCATCTCGGGGACGAACGAATGGCAAGGATGTCTCTTTTTCCTCCTTCTCCAGCACTGGAGGGTCCTTGCTCTTATTTAATTTTTTTTTTTCCTTCCTCCTCCCTTTTCTTTTAATTAAACGTATTTCGGAACAATTGTCGGGGTGGGTGGGTGAGCGCGGGCCGCGAGGGGGTTATATGCCTTTGAATTTTTGCGCGAGCACCGACGCCGGGGTAACCCAACTGCACGAGATGGGGTTGAAAGAAGATTGTATGGGGCACGCAACGCGCGAGGGGATTTTTTTTTCGTCTCTCTCTCCCTCCTCCTCTCGAGGTTCGTTAAATTATAAGCGCGGGGGTGATGCTTATATGTGCGCGTAGGCGCTCTCTCTCTCTCTCTCTCGTACTCTCTTGCCCTCGTGCGCAGTTACATGTATAGGTGTACGAACGCGAAGGGGAAATTTCGAGAGACAAACCGGGTGGGTGGATGTGTGCTTTGGGCCGTTTGCTTTGCCGATACCTATAGGTATAGAGTTTCGAGGGATGTAATATACCAATAAGGCATTATATATATGTTGGTCAAAGGTCCGAATAACGAGAGAGAGAGAGAGAGAGAGAGAGGAGCTTTCGAAGAATGCATACTCTCCCGACGAGGAAGAACGTTTAACTGATGCGGGGCCCGAGCCGGTCGTCGTGCGTTCCGCTTTCGGCTCTTTTGAAAAAGCTGTTGCAGGAGAGTTCAGGGCTCAACCTACACCCAACACGTACAAGTTCGTATTATACACGCCCGGGTATGGTGTGCGTGTATTTTTTTGGGTTTAAAGTGTATATGTATAGGTCGGCCTTTTTTGTCCATATATATGTATACCTATATATAAAATACAAAGGGCGTGCTAATCGGGAATACGATTTCCACCAGCGCCTTCGATCGGCTTCGGGGCCGTGAGTCGCTTTGTTGAGTAGTGCCTATGTAGGCATATCCTCTTAGAATGTGTATTTGGGCATGTTTTTTTTTTTTTTTTTTTTTTTTTCTTTCTTCCTCTTCTGTTCTCCCTTTTCAAGGGCTTATACGAGTGTTTTTCTTCCCTCCTTGGTTAACATACGTGGGACACTGGGCCTCTGGTACTTACCGCAGTACAGTAAGAGTACATTTTTATAATTTTCTGCGGAATGGCTCAAACAAATTGATGCAACGCCTGTTTGTGCGTTGATCGTTTGAGAAGCATTTTTTTTTTCTTCCTTAGCTCGGTATACAGAGCTGATGACATATGATAGATCATTTGATATATTTTATACATCACATCCTAGCTGTTTATGAAAAACTATACAAACGCACACTCACTTTGACACAAAGTTTACACGCGTATCACTTTGAGTACTGCGCGTGAGGATCGTTAATAACTATTGGGTGGATGTATTTTTTATTATGATCATAGTTCAACTTATTTTTTCTTTCAAAGGTATTTGATGAGGTCGTTATACTACTATACCTACCTACATTTTTTATACATATATATTATACACACTGTATTGTGTTATCAGCTCGTGATAATGTCGGTATTTTTACGTATCTTCGCTTACACGCGAGCGTACACACGTAGTGCACCGAATAACTTTAAATTTTATAGGAAAAAAATAAACTTTGTTGTAAATTCCAAGTTTTCCCTTACAAAGATATACGCTACATCTGTATAATACACAACTTCACCCAAACGAGAGAAGCGATTTTTCGATTTTTTTTTTTTTTTTTTAAGGCTCTGTGAGAGATGTTATCTTATCGACTTGTGTGCCCTATGCGTTATAGGAAATTTTACGAGAAATAACAGTAGCAGAGATACCTACATACATGAATATATACATATGGTTGCTCAAGAGTAGGCAGCTATACATGGGAGGGTCTCGCTTTTGGAAACTCTATCTATGATCGTGGCGCTAAATCTTGCGTGGCATTTTTTTCGATTATACTCGCTTCGACGAGTCTCGAACCAGGTATAGTATGGTCGTGCGTGCACAAGTTTTTTTTTTTTTTTTTTTTTTTTNAGAATCCGCGATAAAACTGATTGATCGCAATTAATTTTTAATTTATTTGATTCAAAGCTGTCAGGTGTCAAGGTCTTTGTGATGATCTACAAGGAGGTAGAGCTGGCATTGGGGATAAATAGTTTTTATAGCAAGCAGCGTTTAGTCGAAAAATGCCAGGAAAATATTAAAGTATTAAGACATCCAGATCACGCGAGAGTCGGTGTCCTTTTGTGGGCGCATCACGAAAAGATCGTAGTTGTTGACCAAAGTATTGCTTTTCTCGGTGGTATCGATTTGTGCTATGGACGATGGGATAATCATGAGCATAGACTGACGGACATAGGTATGAACTTGAAAGTAAATTAATGTTCATATAGTTTAACTTAATCTCTTCGGTTTTTATTTAAAGGTTCCACGCATTTATCTTCCATTTACATACCTTCAAAGGGAAAAGTAGTTAGCACTAGTAGCAAACGTGGTACAAGGACTGGGGCAAACCATGTACTTCTGCCCTTAGCAATAGCTACAAACACTGTTGCAATGGCAACTACCAAATGCATTCCAATACTGTAAGTCACTAGAAATTTTGCTACCATTAAATAATTAAAATTATGTTTATGCTGAGCAAGTGTTATTTCTATTCAAAATTAAATTAGGCCAATGGTTTGTAAAACTAAAAAAAAGCCTCAAACACCCACAATAGATATCAATGATCCAATGATCATGAATCCACCAGAGGGTCTAGAAAATTTGAAATGTAATACTCCAGATTCTCACAGGAAAAATTTATTTGACATGGCAATGAACACAGTGGACAAAGTTAAACAGAATGTTAAATTGAAAAAGAGGGAGTGGATCAATATGGTGTACAACCCACATGAAGCAAGTAGTGACGAAGAGGACACCGTAGATAAGTAAGAAGTTTTGATATTACTGCATTAGAATTATCTTAGATTTATTTATCTTGGAAGGTTTATGCTGCGATAATTTACAATATATATTAAAAATTTAGTTCACAAAAGATAATTAAATACTAAACAAAAAATATTGGTTATCTCTCATAAAAACCCAGTAGCTTATCAGTAGAGGTGTATTTCATAATTTAAGGTATCTCTTTCTTCATGATAAAAATTATATTTTGCACGACTCGTTAATAAATTTGTCCTTGCCAAAAATCTTAATCTGCTGAACAGTACATTATATGAGTATATCACAGTTAACTCTAACCACATCTTTAGTCCGTCAAAGTTAATTAAACCATTTACAAATGAGTCGTACTGTTACTGCAACTATTTCGTAGTACTAGTCTCGTTAAAACGCGGTAGCACTGGCAGGATAAGATTTCCAAAGGAGGACTCCTGAGTTATGAAATAGCCGGTGGAATGTGCGTGGGCGTTAAGGAGGGCGGCTCGTTGCATCGACGTCATGTTGGCCCCGTCCCCAGATTGCTGGGATGTAGCGGAGGATGTGATGATCGATGGAATGTTGAGCGACGAGCCAAGACTTTGTTGCACTCCTTGCTTGAGCAACATCTGTTTTTTCAGCTGAAGTTCCTCTAGGATCTTCCGATTTTGGAGTTCGCGAGAATTTGGCTGCTGAAACGTCATACTTTATTGATCTTTTCCTCTAGTTTAACTTACTTTTCACTACTTTATTCTGTCAAAGTTTAAACGAAGATGTTCGCAGTTTTTTTTTTGTTTTTAACACTTTTAACCTAAAAATACGTATAGTACGGAAGCCCGGTCACGACATCTACATAAAATCCACAAAGTAAGAGATAAGGAGATGAAACTCTGCACACTAATCACAATCACTAAGGGTAGTCAGATTTTGCGCACAAGCGCGCACCAAAAAAAGGATGAGTGCACAAAAACATGCACGTTAACTCAACTGCTGGCAGCAGTTGCGGAATACAGCCTCTGATTCTATCATTCTGGTCAAGAGAGCACGGTGTAAGATATACGTAAAGTTATGTGTAGTAATTGTAGTACCTAATGACTACTAAGTAGTGCCATGTATGCAATATGGTCGATTTTATAAGCCATCTAAGATAAGTAGAATATCTATACTTTTGAAGACCAATTTTCGGGTAAAAGATGAATTGTAAACTTGCCGCAAACAGCACAAACAATGTCAACTTTTTATCTTCTATTTATATGATTAGTTGCGGCTGGTTTATAATCAACAAAGCGGCTTTACTGTAAGTTGAAATAATTATTTGGATCAGCGCCATCTAGCGGTCTTCATTTTTTGGCGAAAAGTGGCCTCTAAAATTCTCAATCAGAGCAATCAGGCTTAGAGCTATTTGGTCAATTATAAACCAGCCGCAACTCATGATGAAGCTACAAAATAAAAAAATAACGATACATGTGTTTTTGGCGGCAAGTTAACAATTTTTTTTAAGCTCGAAAATTTATCATCAAAAGTATAAATACATAGGAGGTCGATTTTTTGGTAGGAAATAAATTAGTAACTTGCCGCCCAAAACACATGTACTGTTATTTTTTCATTTTATAGCTTTATCATGAGTTGCGGCTGGTTTATAATTGCCTAAATAGCTCTAAGCCTGATTGCTCTGATTGAGAATTTTAGAGGCCACTTTTGGCCAAAAAATCAAGACCGCTAGATGGCGCTGATCCAAATAATTATAGCCATTTACAGTAAAGTCACTTTATTTGTTATAAACCAGCCGCAACTAATCACATAAATAGAAGATAAAAAGTTGACATTGTTTGTGCTGTTTGCGGCAAGTTTACAATTTATCTTTCACCCGAAAATTGATCTTCAAAAGTATAGAGATTCTACTGATATGGTTTAATTTTCTTTCTTTATTTTTAAATTTTCTTACACAAAATCGAATGAATCTAAGTTTAAGTAATATTTACTCAATTCACTCTGAATAAAGAAACAAATTTTAGCGCAAAAGCCTTGGCAGCGATAGAAGTCGAGGAGAGTTTATACCCCAGCTTGGAAGACTCTGACCAAGTTGACGAGGTGCCGAGCGCTGGGGCGAAACTCTGGCTGGGCAAGGACTACGTGAACTTTATCGTCCAGGACTTCAACAACCTGGAAAGTCCATACCAGGATCTGGTCGACCGCAGTACCACCCCAAGAATGCCGTGGCATGACGTCGGCGTCATGGTCCAGGGTGCGAGCGCTCGCGACGTAGCGAGACACTTTATCCAAAGGTGGAACGCCATCAAGACCGAGAAAGCCAAGTTAAACGCCACCTATCCGTTTCTGTTGCCCAAATCTTACAAGGACTGCGAAAATTTTGTGCCTCGATTCGAGATTGGGGCCATGAAAAGTGTCAAGTGCCAAGTGTTGAGATCCGTGAGCTCTTGGTCGGCTGGATTTTTGGAGCCTGATACTGTCGAGCAGAGCATACACGAAGCTTACATTCATGCCATCACCAAAGCTGAGAGGTACTCTATTTTTTATTTTTGTAAGTCTTTAAAATCAAAAATATAAAAATGGTGAAAAATGAGTATGGAATCTTCGTTTTTCGGTAGGTTTATCTACATAGAGAATCAATTTTTCATCACTCTCTCAACTTTGGATGGTTCAATTGTTAAAAATCGAATTGGTGAGACATTGTTAAAAAGGATTTTAAGGGCGCATCGAGAGGGCACGGTGTTTAGAGTTTTCGTTATCATGCCTCTGCTTCCGGGTTTTGAGGGTGAAGTCGGTGGACCAACAGGCGCGGCTCTACGAGCCATAACGCATTGGAATTACGCCTCCATATCGAGGTAGAGACTAAAATTTACTTCCGAGCGATGATAAGTGTTTTGTACATGTTACTATAAATTTTGTGTCGTTTTCAGAGGAAGACATTCGATTTACAATCAGCTGATGGAAGCGGGTATCGATGATCCTAGTGAATACATAACATTCCATGGCTTGAGAGCGCATTCGATGCTCAATGGGACGATGGTTACCGAATTAATTTACGTACATAGCAAACTGATGATTGTTGATGATAAAACTGTGATATGCGGCTCTGCCAACATCAACGATAGAAGTATGATTGCCACAAGAGATAGTGAAATAGCTGTTATAATTCACGTAAGACAAAGATTAATTTCTTTTTATTTATTTATTTTTTTTTTTTTTATTGTATCTTGGAAACTTGTGCATATTATTATTTTTTTTTTTTCAGGACACAGAATTCTACGAAAGTAGACAAAACGGTATGTCTTTCGATTCGGGAAAATTTGCAGGGTCTCTTAGGAAGCATTTGTTCCGCGAGCACTTGGGCCTTTTGTGGTCTAACGAAGATATTAGCGTTAAAGACATCGTGAGGAAATCGTTTTACCACGATATTTGGCGAGAGAGAAGCAAAGTGAATACAGTAATTTTTGAGGATGTATTTAATTGCATCCCGACAAATAAAGTAGTTAATTTCCAAATGTTGAAGCAATATCAAAACGAAACTCCTCTGTGTTCCACTAATCCAAGTCTTGCTCAAAAGATGATTAAAAACGTTCAGGTACGTTAAAACAAAGGATTTCTCATAGTAAATCGTAATAAATAATAATTTTTCGTTTTTTAGGGTCATCTGGTCGATTTTCCACTAAACTTTCTCTGTAATGAATCGCTCAAGCCAGCTGCCAACACCGTTGAAGGAATCATGCCAACTTCCCTGTGGACTTGAATCAGTATTTTTGTTATGCGCTTTATATATTTATTTTAGAGAATGTGTTTTTAATGTATTACATGTAGATAGTAAAATTTACAGTTATATTTTTATAATGAAACTTTTCTTGTAAAAGATCTAGCCACTATGCATAAGGTAGCTAACTTTCCACATAATTGTTTATTTTTTAGACAATCGACACGTATAAAATAATTTAAAAATTATATCTCCTAAATTTCAAGTTTCGCAAGAAGAAAAAGCTCGCGATTTTTTTTGGTGCTCTTTTTTACTCCACCAACCATAATTTCTGATGCCTTATTCTTGTCCCGTTGCGTATATCGCTCACCACTGTCGAGAGCTTCGGTTTCAGTTAACTGTTTTACCTGGAAATATTCTCTTGCACACTTGCAGAACAGCTTGATTGCTCATCTGTCTGCACTTATACATCTATTTGAATATTTTACCGCTCACTAGAAGCACTTGCCTTTACTATTTGTGCAAGAAAGATGTAAAGTGCCAAAAATTGATGGGCGTCTTATAATTCAAGGACAGCGTGTGAGCTTTTAACATAACGATCGATCAAGTGGGGGTGTGCAAATGTGTTTTGTCAAGCAAGGGGATTTTTTTCGTTACCCGCTACGGGATGATTTGATGCGTACGTGCAATAATGATCCAACTACAGTTACCGATAATTATTCAAGATTATCGATAATATTTTGGGATTGTTGCAGATAATTCAAAATTTTTGAAAAGTTATCGCTTATTATTTTAATTAAAAAATTCTTTTATTTACCACTAACGTATGCATTTTATTTACACATTGCATTTAACTAACGCTTTTGACAACTTTTGTATTTTTTGATTTTACGTTGTATGATTATTTAAAAATGCTCACAACAATCTTATAAAAAAAAAAATGTACAAAGCAAAATACTATCATGTTGTTAATCATTAAATAAAAAACAATAATTAAAAAATTTTATTTTATCCACAATAAACAGAAATACCAAAACAGTCTCAGTTTATTTTTATTTTATTAGTTTCTCTTTTCATAATATTAATACAGTACGAGGAATAAAGGTCGAAGTACGAGCAGATAACACTTGCTTTCTTTAAATGGTTAAACTTTCTCTTGCCTAGTAATAAAAAAAAAAAAAAATTATAAACAATTGAAAATATTTGTCGCAAATAACGACAACTTGCGCGTATNTATATATATTGCTTTATGTTTGACCCAACAACATCATTACAGTTGAAAGAAAAGAGCGAAAATCTTAATTTCAAATATTACCGTGTAAGAGAAAAACGGGGTATTCCCCAATTCCATTATTCCATAAATCACAAATGCCATATTCACGTATCTTTACCGCAAAAATTGAAATTTAGGTACAAACATGTATACATAAAATCGCGAGCAAGTAATTTAAACAATAAGAAAGGACAATCGAAATGTCATTAGTGAACGTTAAGTTAAGTGGAAATGTGGAAACACTGATTTTCATGTAAAAGATGCGAGGTATTGAGTAAAACGAAGAAAATAAGGCCACATGTTTTCACAGACCGCACTTGTGTTTCCAGTTGAAAGCAAAGTCAGAAAAAAAAAAGATATTCGATGCACCTTGTTGTCAGGGGAGCTCAGGGAGCAGGTGGAGGGTGTGACATGGTAGCAATCGAAATCCACCCTGAGTGTACACCATATATCGATACTCGAACAGTATACCTATACAATGTACTCGGTCCCACGAACGCGTCCCAAGTCCCAATACCAAAACACCTCCTTTGATGCGACGTGATGGGTAGTACACATGTACATGTGTATCTGGAATGGCAGCTGCACTAACATACCCATACCCATGTATAAATGTAGCTGATGTATGTAATGGTCCCTCTGTCGTCCAGGAGAGTTGAGAAAGACAGACTGAGAGAGACGAAACGGGGGTGGTAAATATGGTACCTATATGAGATGAATCCCCCTTCATGTGCGTGGTGCAGCGTTGCGAGACTGATGCCGATCCCCTTGCGCATTCTCTCTCCGACAGTGCATTCCCCTTTTTCGAATCATGTAAAAATATAGTTACATTAAAATCAAATCAATCCGTCAATTAGGTAAGAATATAAAAGACATAAATTGATGCTGGTATAAATGAATGAGAGACGCTCGTCGATGAGCCAAAAAAGAATCTTTCGTAACAATTAAAGTCGTTTCTGAATAATGAAAACGTAAAAACAAAAAAATTACTTACTCGTGAGCTCATTTGAAGTAATTGAAAAACCATTCGTCGGTCCTCGCGCCAGACGACGCGCGTCAAGTGTTATATTTGGCCTGTACTGTCTCTATATCAGATAATATACGTAATATGTGCATTCCTTATTATTTGTAATCTGTAGATATAAAATGACCTCATTTCATTACACGTATGTACAGTACGAGAAAAGGGATAGAAATTATTTCTACTGGAAAAGTATCGATTTTTCATAAATCCATTATCTAGTTATACCAAATGCAGCATTACAATTTTTGGGGCACTCCTCACATTTCACAGGAGCAAGTAGTATATACTAGGTATATTTCTCGTGGAGTTAGTAAAAAATTGAGCATAGCAATGCGAAAAGAAGCTTCATCGTTATTCTATATTTTGTTCTATACGTCTGAGGTTGAATGGTTAGACTTTCGAATCGTTGAAAGAACCGTTTTCAGCAATTTTTTCACAGTTTGACATGATTGTAGATCTTTACCTCTAGGAAGTAGGCCATATACAACAAGGACACTCCCGATTGCAGAAACAGCAACAACAAGTAAAAAGAGTAGAAAAGATTGATTTTGTGCTACCTATTACTTTCATCCACGAAGGTTAATTGTATATAAAGATGTATAGTAATGATCTATTGATTATATATGTTGTATAGACATAGACTCGACGATTGGAGCGAGGACATGATAAAAATCACCGTGACCATGACTCAAAATCAATGTTGTATAGGTGTACTTACTCGTTTACACTCTTAGAATGAAAGTAAATAAAGAAGGAGATAGAAAAAAATGGTGCACCAATTCAGCCCTGTACTTACTTTTGTTATGGTCGGCATATAAGTACAATTTTAAGGTAAAAAATTGTTAAGACGTTTTAGAAGCAGACAAAGTGACAGCTGTGAAAGTGAGCGAGACAGAGAGCCAATAGACAAGACCGCTTTCTCGCGCGGTAACGTTATCGCAAATGTCGCAATCCATATATTTTCATTTTTTTTTATTCAACATATACCGTGTTGGTTATCGTATAAAAAAGCCCTAGATCTGTGGGAAATTTCCCTATCTAGACGTTGATGTTTTTTGTTTTTATCGTATTTATTACCGCTGACAAAATTAATATTCGCGACACAACTCTATTTCAATAGTTATCCACTTTTGGTTCGTAAACTTTTCAATATTTTAATCGTAATCTACGAGCTTGATTACGTGTACTTAGTAACAAAAATTCCCTCTTGGAGTACATAAAATTGAAATTCTAAACGATTTCTCTTGGACTAAAAGACTCCCGTCTGCTAATGTCACGTGATCGTTCATCGTGAGTGCGAGTGAGACAACATAAAATGCGTGTGTGTTGTCATCAATACGTGACACCAGCCAAGTTAACTTATTATTTTTTTTTTTTCTTGTACTCTCAATAGAAGAGAAAAATAAAAGAGAAGGAGAACAGTTTCTCATCGTCATCTCAATTGTAATATTCTTACACACGTCAGTCGTATGCGGGCTGTGCTCCTCAAGTCTCTTCTCTCTCGTCAGTTAGTAAAAAAACGTGCCTTGTCCATACCGATCCTGGTTCCAGACAAAAAAGTACCTTCAGCCAGGCAGTAAGTAAGTATATAGGTATCTGCACAGGTGCAAATGTGCATATTCTCTGGAGAGATTTTATTTGTGACAGATAGACAATATGCTTAATATATACCTACTTATGGGTATTATAGAGTTTACAGTTGATCATGAATGCATATATAAAGTGTATACGTGTGTATAAATCGCTCATACCACCTGTTGGATCACAATCAAGTTTGTTTTTTTCTTTCTTAATTTTTATACTTCGGTGTTATTTTTTCACCTGTGTTGAATAAATTTCGTCTTCATGGATAAAAATATTTATGATTAATGAAATATTTTTCGAGTGTCGTTTTGTCAAAGAATCGTTTGTTGTTGCTGGGCTCGTGCAGTGAATTCCATGACTCAAAACTATCCTTGTGGGTAAATTGCAACGTTTATGCTATTAAAGCTGATATAGACTCTTTTGTAAATGTGCATGCCTCGTTCTTTTGCTTGACTTTTTTGTTCTGTCATTATTCACGCTTGCTCAATGCCCATACATCACTTGGCTTATCTGTTTTTTTTTTCTCACTGCCTTAAGTATACCTAGCTACTTTATTATTTGTTACCAATAATTAGTTCGCTACTCTATGTGTTGAAAGCTGAATTTTACATTCTCCAAGCAACATTTAAATTAAAGGTGACATTTTGTTTTACCAAGTGTGTGACAGCAATATTATTCATTCTTCAATTTCAAAGTAATGTATCTTTATTACTTTTCTTGCCTGTTGTAATAGTATCTTGTCACTGTTGTCAATAAAAGTTATCAAGAGCCATAACGTTTTTGTAACTGTGTTCTTTAGTTTTACATAAAAAAAAAAATTATAAAAACATTATTGGGCAGGATATATTTTCCGTTTTCTTAATATTGATACGTAAATAGCAAGATGATGTTCTCACTAATTCTGATCAAAGTATTTTTGAGAAAACATAATTCGCTTGATAATGAATCACCTTATCAAAGATAACGTTTTACTTCTCGAGCTTCTTGCTCAACGTTTTTATGCACCAACAGTGTGATTTAAGCTGCTGTTGGTGTTACAAGCTCGAATTGTTAATTAAGGAAAAACCTGCATTTCCAGCTATAGCTGTAACATACAATGGAGTCTCATAACACTGAAGCTGATGGCGTGACAGATACCACAGAACTGCCTGACGATGCCACTCCAAATTTGGAGAATGCAATGTCCCATGATTCTGAGTATGACGATTTTTTGGGTGTTCCTGACTCATTGAATATAACTGTTAATGAAAACGGAGAACCCATTAGCATTGAAGAAGGAAATGCAGATACATGTGACAGAGGTAGGTAGTATTATTGGTGCTTATACAGAACAGATCACTTTACTTTATGTAGACTGGACATTCTGCACTTTAAAAGTAGATTCTGTGGAATGTGTTTCAGAGCTCAGGAAAGCATTGCCATTTTCCACTATTTACATTAACAATGTCAAATTTAACAACAGAAACATCTTTATTCCTGGTGAAGATGTACATGCAAAAATAATTGACATTGAGCGTAGTATTACAACTCACCCTCTAAATCCTAATCTGTACACGATTCAGTTTACTCATGGACCTTTCACGTGGACTATAAAAAAGCGATATAAACACATTCAGCAGTTGCACAATCAATTAAAAATTTATAGAGCAAGCTTAAACATTCCGTTTCCCACCAAGAGTCATCGAGAAAAAAGAAACAGCTTCAAAAGTATGGCCTCTGAAAATAAATACAATAAAGAAAAGAAAAGACGTAGAGGTGCATTGCCAAGGTAAAGTAAATTTCAAAAAACAAGTAATAATTTATTTGCTATTTTGAACGCATTATGTATTCAATGCTTTATTTAAAATTGTTTATTGAAAGGTTTCCTAGTCGACCGGAAGTACTCGTGCCGCATGAATATTTAAATCACAGAATGGCAGCTCTGGAAGAATATTTAGATACATTATTAAAAATCGAAATTTATAAACGCCATCCAGAGACGGTAAGTGTCTGATTCACGCAATTGTTAACGTTTCAACCTTTTAGATGAAGATTGCGCAATTTTACGTATTAATTAATTTTATTAATGCAATTTCTTGGCTATAGGCAAACTTCCTGGAAGTCTCGCATTTGTCGTTCGTTAGCGACCTCGGTGACAAAGGCAAGGAAGGTTTGGTGAAAAAGCGCACGGGTTCTCACGCGAAAACTGGTTGTTACGCATGCGGTTTGCTCAAGTGCGTTTTTTGCATTAGATGCAGTCATTATTGCCCGCCTATCTGTGGAAAATGGCATAAACGGCACATCGTTGTGAAAGATACCTTTGTGGCTTACATTAGCCCCAAAGACGGCAGGATAAAGTCGGTGATTTTAATGGACAACAGGTTCGAGGTCAGCTCGGGCATGTACTCAACGGGATTGAGGGATGGCTTGCAAGTTGTGAATCTTAGTCGACACATAGTCATCAAATGTTGGACAAGGAGAAAAGCCAAAGAGTGGCTGGAGCACATACAACAGCTGATGCAGAACGAAGGTGATTATGCTTTTTTAACTCTTCAAACCTTGATTATCATACACGTGTCTACAATCATGATGCGTGTGTGGTGATCGTTTATTGTCTGCAACGCTTATTGTAGTTGGTCAACTTTTGTTTTTTCTTTATTTTCGTTATAGGTAGACAATTTATACAAACAAATCCCCATAAATCATTTGTTCCGTACAGATGTCCCGTTCCCGCTTGTTGGTTTGTTGACGGCGCGAGTTACATGACCGCCGTAGCCGATGCTCTTGAAAGCGCTACCGAGGAAATTTTCATTGCCGATTGGTGGCTCTCGCCAGAGATTTATATGAAGAGACCGGCCATCCATGATGATTACTGGAGATTAGATAATATTCTGCAGAGAAAAGCCGTGAGTTTTTTTTTTTATGTACATTTATTTTAAGCTACTAGAAGTATAATATTTTTTTCGCCTTTTTAATGCTTTCCAAAAAAAAGAGAGGTGAGCTTGAAAAAATATCTTTTGTTAAAATCTATTCCCTGATGCCAAATGAAAGGTCATGGCAGAAAGAATCCGCGATAAAACTGATTGATCGCAATTAATTTTTAATTTATTTGATTCAAAGCTGTCAGGTGTCAAGGTCTTTGTGATGATCTACAAGGAGGTAGAGCTGGCATTGGGGATAAATAGTTTTTATAGCAAGCAGCGTTTAGTCGAAAAATGCCAGGAAAATATTAAAGTATTAAGACATCCAGATCACGCGAGAGTCGGTGTCCTTTTGTGGGCGCATCACGAAAAGATCGTAGTTGTTGACCAAAGTATTGCTTTTCTCGGTGGTATCGATTTGTGCTATGGACGATGGGATAATCATGAGCATAGACTGACGGACATAGGTATGAACTTGAAAGTAAATTAATGTTCATATAGTTTAACTTAATCTCTTCGGTTTTTATTTAAAGGTTCCACGCATTTATCTTCCATTTACATACCTTCAAAGGGAAAAGTAGTTAGCACTAGTAGCAAACGTGGTACAAGGACTGGGGCAAACCATGTACTTCTGCCCTTAGCAATAGCTACAAACACTGTTGCAATGGCAACTACCAAATGCATTCCAATACTGTAAGTCACTAGAAATTTTGCTACCATTAAATAATTAAAATTATGTTTATGCTGAGCAAGTGTTATTTCTATTCAAAATTAAATTAGGCCAATGGTTTGTAAAACTAAAAAAAAGCCTCAAACACCCACAATAGATATCAATGATCCAATGATCATGAATCCACCAGAGGGTCTAGAAAATTTGAAATGTAATACTCCAGATTCTCACAGGAAAAATTTATTTGACATGGCAATGAACACAGTGGACAAAGTTAAACAGAATGTTAAATTGAAAAAGAGGGAGTGGATCAATATGGTGTACAACCCACATGAAGCAAGTAGTGACGAAGAGGACACCGTAGATAAGTAAGAAGTTTTGATATTACTGCATTAGAATTATCTTAGATTTATTTATCTTGGAAGGTTTATGCTGCGATAATTTACAATATATATTAAAAATTTAGTTCACAAAAGATAATTAAATACTAAACAAAAAATATTGGTTATCTCTCATAAAAACCCAGTAGCTTATCAGTAGAGGTGTATTTCATAATTTAAGGTATCTCTTTCTTCATGATAAAAATTATATTTTGCACGACTCGTTAATAAATTTGTCCTTGCCAAAAATCTTAATCTGCTGAACAGTACATTATATGAGTATATCACAGTTAACTCTAACCACATCTTTAGTCCGTCAAAGTTAATTAAACCATTTACAAATGAGTCGTACTGTTACTGCAACTATTTCGTAGTACTAGTCTCGTTAAAACGCGGTAGCACTGGCAGGATAAGATTTCCAAAGGAGGACTCCTGAGTTATGAAATAGCCGGTGGAATGTGCGTGGGCGTTAAGGAGGGCGGCTCGTTGCATCGACGTCATGTTGGCCCCGTCCCCAGATTGCTGGGATGTAGCGGAGGATGTGATGATCGATGGAATGTTGAGCGACGAGCCAAGACTTTGTTGCACTCCTTGCTTGAGCAACATCTGTTTTTTCAGCTGAAGTTCCTCTAGGATCTTCCGATTTTGGAGTTCGCGAGAATTTGGCTGCTGAAACGTCATACTTTATTGATCTTTTCCTCTAGTTTAACTTACTTTTCACTACTTTATTCTGTCAAAGTTTAAACGAAGATGTTCGCAGTTTTTTTTTTGTTTTTAACACTTTTAACCTAAAAATACGTATAGTACGGAAGCCCGGTCACGACATCTACATAAAATCCACAAAGTAAGAGATAAGGAGATGAAACTCTGCACACTAATCACAATCACTAAGGGTAGTCAGATTTTGCGCACAAGCGCGCACCAAAAAAAGGATGAGTGCACAAAAACATGCACGTTAACTCAACTGCTGGCAGCAGTTGCGGAATACAGCCTCTGATTCTATCATTCTGGTCAAGAGAGCACGGTGTAAGATATACGTAAAGTTATGTGTAGTAATTGTAGTACCTAATGACTACTAAGTAGTGCCATGTATGCAATATGGTCGATTTTATAAGCCATCTAAGATAAGTAGAATATCTATACTTTTGAAGACCAATTTTCGGGTAAAAGATGAATTGTAAACTTGCCGCAAACAGCACAAACAATGTCAACTTTTTATCTTCTATTTATATGATTAGTTGCGGCTGGTTTATAATCAACAAAGCGGCTTTACTGTAAGTTGAAATAATTATTTGGATCAGCGCCATCTAGCGGTCTTCATTTTTTGGCGAAAAGTGGCCTCTAAAATTCTCAATCAGAGCAATCAGGCTTAGAGCTATTTGGTCAATTATAAACCAGCCGCAACTCATGATGAAGCTACAAAATAAAAAAATAACGATACATGTGTTTTTGGCGGCAAGTTACCAATCTATTTCCTACCAAAAAATCGACCTCCTATGTATTTATACTTTTGAAGATAAATTTTTGAGCATAAGATATATTGTTAACTTGCCGCCAAAAACACATGTATCGTTATTTTTTTATTTTATAGCTTCATCATGAGTTGCGGCTGGTTTATAATTGACTAAATGGCTCTAATCCTGAATGCTCTGATTTAGAATTTTAGGAGCCACTTTTGGCCAAAAAATAAAGACCGCTAGATGGCGCTGATCCAAATAATT